CCGTCCCACCTCGGTACGCCGTGGCCGGAAGATGGGGGGGCGCCCATCGGGGCCAACGTAGCGCCCCTCTTCATTCAAGTGAACGCGGGCGTCCTCCACAGTCTCCGCCTCCACCTCCACCTCATCGAAGGCGTCCTCTTCGCAGGCGTCCTCCTCGCCCACCTTCTTCTTTCCTCGGTCGGCCTTCTTGCTGGCCGAGGCCAAGGGGGAACCCGCCCTCTTCCCCTTGCGGAGCAAAGGCTCTTCTTCTTCTTCTTCTTCTTCTTCGGCGGAGTTGACCTTCTTCTCCGCAGGGTTAAAGTTAGGCGCCCCCTCGCCTTCCTCCGACGCGGACGAAGCCACGCTCGCTGTATGCGCCCGAGCGGTGCCACCCTTCACTGCTCTCTTCTTCCTTTTCTTGGGGCCAGCCGTTGGCGCCTTTGATTGGGTGGCAGGCGCCTCTTCTTGGGTGGGCGCCTCTTGATGAGCAGGCATCTCTTGTGACGAAGCCGCTGCCGCGGCCGCCTCCGCCGCCATGCTCGCCAGCCTGCTCTTCATTAGCTTGGCGATGCTGGAGTAGTCCGCCCCTGCATATGACGGATAAAAGTTAGTCCATCACACAGAAAGGGAAGCGAAGAAATAAAACACCTAGACGCCTACACACCATCGTTATAATACGCCTCAATAATAGGCGGGCGGTTTTCGGCGGGGCGCAAGTCAACGGGTTCCCCCTCGCAAATTAAGGGGGCGCCTGCCTTTTCAGACGCCGTCAAAACCACTGGCGCGTTAAAGGCCTCGACTATACCCAACTCCCATTTCCTCATAAAGGCGCCCCCACTTGCAAAAAAGGAGTCGCGATAGGCCTTCACGAAGAAAAAACCGTTGAACCAGCTTCGGTTCAACTTTGGACACTTCTTCACAAAATGATAGGGGCGCTTCTTCCGTTTTTGGAGGGACAAGCAGTTGTCGAGCGGCACCATTTTGAAGAAGTATCTGAACAAGTTGAAGGTGGGCTCCACGTTATGCTGCCGGCACCTCAACTTGAACAGTATAACAACCGTTATAACTGAGGGAGATAGGCGCCCGAGTGGACAGGCGCAGGTTGTCAGGATTCCCTCCATGACCGAGTCAAGGGGAAACTGTAGCCCGAAGCGGAAATACTCTTGATAAATCCCAATCCACTTCGGACCACAGACGCCCACCCGGGACAGCGGCGATGGGGGCGCATACCACCAATCTCTGGGAAGCTGGAGACTGGTCACCAACTCGTGAACACGTTCCAAAGTCACGGTTGACGTGTGGTTTGGGCCGGCCACCTCGAACGGTAAGTCAGACGTCTCGGTGGGCAGATGATCGGGAGGAAAACACTTCTCCCACGTGGTGATCTTGTAGGACCCATCGGCAGGCAAGAAACCAGGCGCCGACGAACTTGACGGTCCCGCAGTCGATGATGGTCCGCCGGATGCTGAAGTAGGCGCCCGCTCTAAACCAATAAATGACCCAGACGCAACGCGGGCACGGGGTAAGTGACGCCTACCCTAGGTGACTAGAATAAACTCAACGAAATCGACGAAGGGAAAAGGACAACTTACCACGTTGAACTGGGCGCCTTGTCTCACCACCATCGCCAGAGGCGCCGGGGGCAGAGGTCTTGTTTTGTTGTGGAGAAGACATCTTGGACGAAAGTGATGTGTTGGAAGCGAAGAACAAGCAAGAAAAGAGGGCAGAGGTCAGCGCGGAGGCTAGAGAGAAGTCAGAGCAAAAGTCTAGAGAGAGGTCAAATGGAAGAAAGTGACAGCACCACAGGGGAGGAGGAGTATTTAAAGGAAAAAGAGGGCTCACCCGCCATCTGACACGTGTCAGTCATGCCGAAGGATCCCTTCCGCTCCCCCCACCTTTTGGTCGTTTCGCGAGCCACAAAATCTCAGGCGGACCTTTGAGCTTCCCCCACCCTTTCCTTTTCGGGGAAATTTCTCAACTCTCAAATTTCGAATTTCGAATTTCGAATTTCGAATTTCCTTTTCTCAAAATTTCACCGACAAGCAAAGCGTCGGTGAGGGGGGCATAAGGGATAAGGACACGCGTCAAGAACGACACCATGAAGCGCCCGAAAGGAAGGGTTAATTAGAAAAGGCGCCCGTTTGGAAAAAGGCGCCTCAGCAGGCAAGAGGCACAGAAGCACATGAAAGAGCATTTGACAAGGGGCACAACCAAAGGTGGGACGCCTGCCCGCAGAGGAGGAGAGGCAAACACACCCCGTAGAACCAAGAAAGAAGTGACAACGCAATGCATGCGCCTGGTGACAAGCGCCCTGTGGCTAAGAGAAGGCCGGATTACAACTAGAGAGTCAGTCAGGCGCTCGAAGGCGAAGCCACGAGCACCTAACTGGGGGGAAATTGTTGGGGGTATCACCCAGCAGGCTAGGAGATTGGGCTCCCAAAGGAGGAGTTGGGGGGCAAAGCCCAAAAGGGTAAGAATCAATACCCACTAGTGGCCTTTGGGCCCAAACAAAGAGAAGGACCTCAAGAGTAAAGCACCAAAAGCCAGGTGGCGGCCAACCGGCTGGGGGACCACAGTCTGCGGGCGCCTGTCGTGTGTCAGGTGTCAGGAGTCTGACAGGGTGGTTAGATGTCTCACAGAGCACCAAAAGCCAGGTGGCGGCCGACTGGCTGGTGGACCACGGCCTGCGGGCGCCTGTCGTGTGTCAGGAGCCTGGCAGAGCTGTGGGATGTCAGTCAGGTGTCAGGAGTCTGACAGGGCGGTTAGCTGTCTGGTGGCGCAGAGCATTAAATGAGAATGGTGACGTGGCGGAGATCAGCCTCGGGTTCGGTGAGTATAAATAGAGGCAGTCGACAGCATTTACGCAGGTTGGCTTCTCTGACTAAACTATTTCTTGACACTTATCTCTCTAGAAGAAGAGCACTGACTTGAGCTTCGGAGTGCTAACGGGTCGGCCAAGGCCCTTAGGCGCTTGTGGGTGCAGGTTCCAGGTGCCCAAGTGACAGTTAAGCGGGAAAGTGGAGGATAAGCGTTCGGGGGTATCCAGGCTCAAACAGAATCGATGAACTATGAGCAAAGTTTTTCACGGGGATAATTGAGCACAATAAAGTTTCTAGTACAAACTGGTAGATATTGACCAAAGTGTTAATGTAGTTAACTCGAGTGTTTGTTCCACATTTTCAGAGTTTATTAGTCATGTCATTTTTTATATTTATTTTTTTGGTTAAATGTGTTTTTCTTTAATTGTTTGTACAAAATTAAACTGATATAGTTGTTCTAACAGAAGTACAAATCGAAATGAATATACTATTACATTCATTGTTAACACTTCTACATATAATAACAAAAAACGTGTTCAGTGCGAATAATGTTCATTAGATGCGTAATATTTGACCATCTCTTTTTCACATCACAATCGAAGTGAAGGGGGAAAACTTGCATGCCCCTATAATTTCTAAAATGTTAAACTTGATTAGTTGAAAGTGTGGATGACAAACCATCAACAACTCCACTAATCAAAGTCTTGCAAAATGATAAAAAGAAATTTATAATGGTCTTGCAAAATGAGAATTGATAAGCATTATCGTATAGTTCACCTAGAGAGAAGGACAAAGGCAAGTAAATTTTTTGCTTTGATATGTAGGGACTAGGGGATATGCATTTTAACCGTTTTCCTAATGCATACTTTAACTTCATAAGCTGAAACTTCTTTTCTTCTTCTACGCAATCATAAATAAATGTTCAACCACATCTAGTTAATGGCTTTCAGGTTCAGGGCTATTATGACAGTTCTATAATATAGGACAAATCAAAAGTCAATGGATTTCGAGTTCAGGGCTATTAAGGTGAATGATCCTGTAAGACAGATGTGACTTTTCGGTTGATGAGATAAACCACCACATTGATAGCCTCAATACAAAATCCTCCAGGAACTTGTGATTGCGGAAGATGTGCTCGAGTAAGCTCTAGCACATGCCGATGATGGCGTTCAACCAACCCATTTTATTGGGAGACACCGGGACATGATTGTTGTGATAAGATACCATTGACACGATAGAATTCCTGTAAGGGGTTAGAGTTAAATTCTCCCCCTTGATCATAGCGAAATTCACTACAACAAATTTGGTTTATTATGACACCTACATTTTGTCACATTATATAGCTATGTTGTCATATTAGGTATATTATGACAACATTCGTTGCGTTTGTCATAATATCGTCGTCACAATATCTCTCTTGTGACAAATATTTGTATGACTTGTCATAATAGAGTAATCGATAAGTGACGCATGATATTTGTCATAACATGGGCACTATTGTGACACACGGTTTTGTCAAAATAAAATGACAACTTTGTCACAATCTAGTGATGATGGTCACTAGAACTCAGGTTCTTGGTAGCTTATTATGACGAACTCTGACTATTATGACGACTAGTGTTGTCAGTTTATTTTGACACAATTGCCCTTTGTCATAATTGGTATTTCTATTCTATTTTCTTATGATAACTATCTTTCGTCTTTCATTTTGTATTATGGCGATCATTATTTGTCATAGAGGGTTCTATGGACCATCATTGTAAATTGTGATTAATTTATAATTTTGTCATATTATCTATAAGCAATGAAAAATTTGCATTGTCACAGGACGCTTATTTTAGCAAGATAATTTTGTCATTTTACATACGCGAACAACTTTGTTACGAAATTGTGACAAATTGTTTTTGTCACTATTGTTTGATAATATGACAAATCAGTTGTCAAAACTGATTATAATGGGAGACATAAAATTGATAACCCTATTCAAGTTTTACCTAGAGAATCCATTCCCATTTAATAATAAAAGTCGTTCAATCCAAAATTAAGCATTCACATTCAGTAGTATCATCATTCCATAATATTATAACGTGATCCAAACAACAAAAAGTCTTAAGGTCATTCCGAAGATTTGTTCACCATTCAAGGTAATATCCTAGGACAAAATGAGTGCTTCATACTTCTAAGACGTCGACATCCTTCGTTGGCATCTATATATTGCTCATTCAAATTCTTCGACATCTGTATCAAAACAATGAAAAGAAAGACAATGTGTGAGTTAATTGATTATGAGTACATTGAAGTGAAACTTAATCGATAGAGTTATTATCTCAAACATACATAACTAAGTATAAGAACATAACATGATAATTTCAGGTACTTTAACAATAATGAACTTAAAAGATTGCATACAACAAACATCTATCAACAAGATTCCCATACAACTAACATATATCCACATAACAATAGTGTACATACATATGGATTCATTAGTCACTCTAATTATACAAAGAAGAATGGAATTTCATGGTTTCAACTTCTACTGTGTCATAAAAGTAATTATTTAATGTTAATAGTAAATGAATATAGTTACCTTGCACTGAAGGAGGTAAATGCTCATCTCTGATTTAGTGTGGCAGCTAATGCCTCCATCTTCTTTTGAAGTTTCTCTTGTGATTCTCGTAGTTGCTGCATTTCCATACCTTGCATTTGTAACTTCTCTTCCTGAACTGTATCTTCTCATCTTGACTCTGTATCTTTTCCTCATGGCTTTATATCTTAGCATCAAATTCCTAAGTTCTTCTCTCCAGTTCAACCTTTTCTTCTTACAATTCTGCTTCGAGTTGTAGTTCTCTAGCTGAATGAACTGTTTCCTTCAGACCATATTGAACGTTTTTCTTCAGCACCATCTCAACAATCTCGCAGCCTGATAATGCTTCCCATTTGCTATTGCTTGGACATGAATGGCTTTCATCTCCTCCTACATGCATAAGCATGTTTGAACATAAGTAAGTAAAATTTCCAGCAACACGAGCCATAATTAAAGGTTTGTTTTTGCTGCCAAATGGTCTCATAAGCTTACATAGTTTATCTTAGGTTCCTCGCTCACCTAGTCTCCATCGTTCCTTCTATGTGTATTTTCATAAAGGGAAATATCTATGGGCTCTGCCTCTTCATCAGATCCCTCCTCTTTCATCTCCATGGTTGGTTGGTCAGCAGGCTCCTTCTTCTTCTTCTTCTTCTTTTCTTAGTGAACTTTCATAAAAAAAATTCAAAATGTCAAAGAAAAAGAGTGCTACACAGAACGACATAGGAGAGAAATATATGATAAAAATAAAGAATACTACTTAGAAGACATCAGACGCTTACAACAACACTGCTAGAGATCACAACCAATTTACAACAAGAAAACTAGTAATAAGTAGGACACCTCTAAAGATACATACAACTTCGTATAATTATGGCAAATGCTAGAGGAAATTTACCATTTCATACACTCTTTGATAATGGGATTTAGCACCAGTGGTATGAGCGTACTCTTGCTTGCTCTTGTTAATGGTATTTTGTTTACTTCGCTTCTATAAAAGAAAAATTCAATAATCCCCCAAGACTTACAAAGTTTAAGTGAATATGATTGTCAAAATGTTTACTAGAAATTGATCACTCTCAAAGTGATCACATAACAGATCACATAACAACTGCCAGAAATCGATCACTCTCAAAATGTTACCCCCAAAACTTGCCACATAGTGCATACGTGGGAAATACCTACCCCAATGCTTATATACCCCCAAAACATAAAGACACTTGGCATCCATTGGCACCTGAACCATTTTGACATCTTATTAACATAGCCACATGGCTGCTTATAAATCTGTGTAATCAGAATTAAGTTTTGTTTTCCATTTGAAATAAATCTAATTATATATTACTTAGGCCCTAATCTAATTATACGCTTGGTGACCATAAATCAACCCAACTTGCCACATTATGATGCAAACCAATCCACTTCACAAGACGTCCGTCAAGTTCGAAGAGCGTCCAACGATCGTGGTTCGAAAATAGGTTCCATCACTAAAAAGAGCAAGTCAGACATTCCTAGGATCTGAAGCAAACCAACTATGATCTCTATTAAAACTTTTCCAACTTACTCCATCAGCAGGATGCCTCAGTACATCATCATCAACACATTTTTCATTGTGCCACCTCATGTCCTTAGCAATTGATTTCGTCATGAACAACCTTTGTAGCCTATCTTTTATGGGGAAATATGTAGCTTTCTTAATGGCAACCTCATCCTGTTTACCCGGGTTGTACCTAGGATGCTGACATTTTGGGCATTCCTTCTCAGATTGTAGAGGACCTTTAAATAGAACACAATTGTTTGGACATGCATCTATGATGGTGTAGACGAATCCAAGATCTTGCATGTACCTCTTAACCTCATAGAATGAAGACGGAAGGGTGTCCCTAGTTGGTAAAGCAGCCTTGAACAACTCCATATTCAAGTTAAATGCTTTAGCACTACTATTGGTTATTAGTTTATTATTCCTCATTTTCATCATGAAGGATAACTTTGAAAAGTTCTTACATCCCGGATATAGCGGACAATTGGTATCACTGAATAATATAGCCAATTTTCCAGAAGTTTTTGCCACATTAAAATAATCATTTGATGTTGCACCCTCTGTTGCAGAAAAAATTCCTTGAGTAGCTCGACCGAAATCATCTAACATTTCAGGGATATCAGTATCTAACACTTTATTTTCATTCTCAAAAGTAGAATGAGAAGGTTGGTTTATGTTACTGCTACTGCCAAATTCATAAGGCTCGCCATGATGTATCCATGTAGTATATGTCTCCACCATGCCATGCCTAAATATTTCACTTTTCACCACATTTAGGTTCTTAAAGTAACAATTATTACACTTCTTGCACAAACATCTAGTTCTACCAAGTTTATCAAGATGGTCAGATGCAACCCTTATGAATTCATCAACCCCTGCTATATATTCCTCACAGAATCTATTCTTTAACTTCAGCCAATCTCTATTCGTTTTGACTATATGTAAAAGTAGAGTGACCTTCAATTGTCGGTTGTTTTGTAACTTGCAAGATCACACTGACCAAATGAGATAAGCACTTGCACAATTAAATAAGCAACATGAGAAACCTTGTTGGATTGTGTTTCGTACTATATGATTATTGAATAATATGATAGAATATTATTAAATCACAATGCACGCAATAGACTACCGCTAATGCAAACAGATTATGGATTGATAGCTAGGAACAATGCAAATGATCGCTTTGCCCAGCTACTTAACTCGAACAAACCCCTACTGATTAGGCCATTTTCTAATTAACATACTACTTGTGTTGCTTTTCCACATAACCCCAATCTTCTTCAACCGATTCCCATTCTTCTTTTCATTAACAACATATCTCATCCAACAATGGGAATGGGAGAAACAACAATGAGGCAAAATAGAATGGCTTATTCCAACACTTAACCTATAAGGTCTCACTTATATAAGAAGGAATTCCAACCTCTATGTTCCTACCTTGCCATAAGCATAACCAACCAACACGAGAAAAACATACCCAAATATAAGAAGGAATTCCGGTCATGAGCAACAACACAAAAGAACATATATAGATAAATACAGAGCACCAACTCTCTTGGAAAGAAGCTCCCCACCATAATAACAATTGTACATGAAAGAAATTCACCACCTACGACATAATCATCTTAGAATCGAAGCACAAGCACACAACAGTAAACGAAAAAAAGTACATAAGCTATGAAACAGGGGATGGAGGTGAAGAGGGTTGCAGAACAATAGAGGTTCTTACTTGCAATGAACCACCAAAATTGCTCTTCCGGACTGTCACTATTGATTTGCGCCGATTGAGTAAGGAAGGCTTTGGCGAGAATCTCCGAACGAAAGGAGAAGTCTAAGGGTTTCGTAAACGAGTTGGGAGGGAAGGAAAACGAGAATTCCATGTCTCTTGTTTACTTTACTCAATTTTTCTGTTAAAAGTTTATTCGTATTATAGCCCAAAACCAATACAGAATATATTTCCAATTCCATATTGTGTTTGTTATAGAACATATAGAATAAAACATTAATTAATCATTTTTCTTAAATAAATAATTTATTCATATTACATCAATATACATCGTTGGATCGGGGGCGATGCCCCCAAACCGAGCGCTTTGCCCCTGGACCCCAACTGACTGATCGGGCAGTGAGACCCCCGTGACTTGCAGTCGACGACAATTATATCGATTTGAATTCATATAAGTGCATCTAAAGATTGAAAAGTTATTTCTAGGTCATAGTAAAGGCTATTAGGGTGTCATAACTTAGTATGAAATTTTGACGAATAGAGAATTTTTAGACGATGGAATATATAGTAGGGTGTCATCTTAATATAACTCATTTGTTAAAAAAAAACCCTACCATAATATTTTCGTATTGGGGTTTAAGTTTAAGAGATACGATTTAATTATGACTTAAGGACAAGTGTGTGCAGTCCCATCTAAGACTCTATATTTAAGATTTAGGGTGCATAGATTGCCCCTTATATGTTTATAGTTTGTTCACTCGCTATGTTTACAGTTAGTGACGATGGTCTTTCATATTAAATGTTCATCCACTACTTAATATGACAACCTATCTTTTTTTGTCATATATAATATACTATTACAGATTGTGACAAACTATACATTTGTCCTTTTAGATACTTTATCTTTCCCTTCACAATTTCCCGCCACTACCAATCTGTACACGTATGTTATGACTTACTAAATTTTTATCTTATGCATATCTAGACACTATATGTGACAAATAAAATTTGTCATAAATAAGTACTAGCTTGTGTAAATAGCTAATGTGAAAATTTTAATTTCTCATAGTAATGATCAACTGCCATATATTATGATAAGTTACTAATTTGTCATATTATCCATTCCATAATTCCCTCCACAAGTTCTCGCTACAAATATGTTTTGATAAACATAATAATGACTAACCATTCTTTGTCTATTATTTAATCCTCCACAATGAATATTAGATATTATGACAATAAAAGTTGTCATAATATATATGATATAGTATATAATGTGACAACAGAAAATATCACGCACTTATTGTCAGATTATAGTGTTTGTCTTTCGTTCCGGTAGTGTTAATGTGACAAATTATTCATGAGAAATAATATTTCATTATCATATAGAGATAATGTGACAAATGTTTATGAAAAAAATAATATTTTGTCACAAAAACATGAATACTATGACAGTTATTTCTTTCGTCACATATAACACTTTATTGTGACAAAATAATAATGAATTTTTTTTTTGTCATAATAACATGATTTTGTTGTAGTGGGAATGATCTTAACTGTCTTCCCAAATTGAGTGAGAATTAAGTGAACAAACACGATGGCACGATCAAGTAACTCAAACTTCCGACACAAGAAATAGATCCAAGCATAACGGGTGGCATGGTCAATGAACAATGCGAAGTATCTATATCTCATTCGAGATGTGACAGGGGAAGGACCTAGAGAAATGCATGAATCAAAGGCCGACTCATAGATTGTTTCACTTGAGGAGAATGAAGATTGTGATTCAATACAGCTAATACAGGCCATGAGCGAAGTAAATTTTGCCCACAAAGAATCTGGAAATAAGTTATGGAGAAACATATTGAGTAAACGAGCATTATGGGGATGACCAAGGAGTTGTGCCATAAATCCCAAACCGAATGTCTTACATCAAAATCCAAAGAATCCAAAGAACGGGCAAAAAATGCCAAACTA